TGCAGAAGTAGGGGGACGCGGTGCTCCAAGTGCCAGAGTGGAGATTCCCCTGCAGCCCATGGCGAAGACCATGGTGGGGCGGGCTGTCCCCTTGCAGCCCATGGAGGCCCTTGATGGAGCAGATCTCCACCTGCAGCCCATGGAGGACCCCATGCCGGAGCGGGTGGATGCCTGAAGGGAGGAGGCTGTGACCCCATGGGAAGCCTGTGCCACATCAGGTTCCTGGTAAGCCATTGCGGACCTGTGGGGGGAGGAGCCCACACCAAAGCAGATTTGCTAGCAGAACTTGTGACCCCACAGGACCCAACACTGGAGCAGTCTGCTCCTGAGGGACTGTGTCCCGTGGAAATTATGGACCCACGCTGGAGCAGGGGAGAGTCCTCTCCCTGGTATGAAGATTCAGCAGAGACAACATGTGATGAACTGACCTCAACCCCCATTCCCGTCCCCCTGCACTGCTGGGGGGAGTAGGTAGAGGAGCTGGGAGTGAAGTTGAGCCCAGAAAGAAGGGAAGGGGGGGGGGAAGGTTTTTAAGATCTAGCAGTTTTTCTCCTTTCCTTCTCTGATTTTGATTGATAATAAATTAATTTTTTTTTCAAGTTGAGTCTGTTTTGCCCATGATGGTAACTGATAAAATGGTCTCTCCCTGTCCTTATCTTGACCCACGAGCCTTTTGATTTACTTTTCTCTCCGCTGTCCGGTTAGAGGGGAGTGATAGAGCGGCTTTGGTGGGCCCCTGGCGTCCAGCCAGGCTCAAACCACCACACAGGCACCAGGGCCAGACACAGCCCTGTGACTGCCAGCCTGTCCAGGGCTGAGCTGGGCTGTCAGCCTGCAGTTCAGGGTCCAGATCAGTGAGGTCCATGGCTTGGCACAGCCACAATGCAGTGGGCGACTGGGGTCCATGGCCTGAGCTGAGATGGGTCCTGAGGGCAGGCGTGAGGTGGGGAGGCCTCCGGTGGGGCTGGACGGGGCCAGCAAGGCCACTCCTGCCCTCAGTGCCCTGACAGCAGCTCCCTCCCAGAGGGATGTGTCCTCCCACCCGACAAAGATCTGGGCTCAGGTGGGACTTGCTGAAGAGTAGTTTAACTGCTGTGGGGTGTCGGGGGCATTTCAGGGGACACAGAGCCAGGGAAAGGACAGGGAAATGGGAAAGGGACATGGCGGGGGGGGTTGGGGCCAGGTGGCAGGCTCAGGCAGACCCTGAGTAGCCCCAGAGGCTTAGCAGGCTTATGAAGGGGGTGTGGGGGTGAAGGGAGTATTCTCAGATGGCCCCTGAAGAGCCCCAAAGTTTCCCTGTGAGAGGTTCACTCAGAAGCTTGGGTTTAGGCCAGGGCTGATGCTGTGGGAGGGTCAGAGTCTAGAGCCAGGCCAGGTTTGTAGGGCAAGTCCTTGCAAAGCCATGGGCCTGGCTCTGCGATGCTGGCTTAGGGCTTGAGAAAGCCAGGGAGGGCAGGGTGCCACAGGGGCCAGCTGCTGCCAGGGGACCAGGAGCTGCGGGGGGTCCCTGCGGGGGCAGCAGGGCAGAGGCCTCCCAGCCAGGCCTGTCCCAACCCCAGTCAGGAGCAGGGTTGGGAGAGGGGTGGGCAGCGGGATAGCCCCAGCCCCAAGCACTGTGTGCCTCCCTGGGGACAAGGACAGGGATGGGCTGAGGCCAGGCCAGGCCAGCAGTGTGTGAGTGGGGTTCAAGATCAGGGCCGGTGAGGGGAACCAAGGTCGGACACAGCCCAGGGTGTGTCCAGGCAGGGTCCATGTCCAGGCAGCCCCACAGCTGTACCACAGCTGGAAGCAGGTACACATGCAACACAGCCCCGGCAGAAACTAAGGCCCATGGGCAGAGGGTGCGGGGCCCCCAGGTGAGACTGGGCCGGGTGAGACCTGTCAGTGCGCCCGGTGCCCTGTCTGGCCTTGGGAGGCGTTTGGCCGGTATATACGCAGCTATTTTATAAGGTTGAAACCTTTCCTTTCCCCCAAGACAACTCATCGCTAGCATTAGTAGTAAGTCACTGCCATCAACTATATTTAAATACTTTTCACATGAAATATCTTTAATGAGTCCAAAGACCAGAACTAATTCCTGGATATATCATAAATAGCGAGGTGTCAATAGACAGGTTGGTACCTTTTAGAATACCAGTCTCCAGCCTAAAGCAAATTGGTTTTTATTGCACCCATCTTTTTGCCAGGTCTTGACACCAAATCTACAGAGCCAAACAATGTGAATTAACAAATTCTTGGTTCTCTGCAGCAAATGAAGACAACAGTGAATGCATTAGCATAGTTTCTCTGCTGCCAGTTTCTCATGCCAAGCCCTGCTATCAACATATTTCATTGTGCTTCTCGCTCTCAGCTGTTGTCTACCAGTAGATAGGACACTGAATTTGGGGAAAGGGGTGCTCTATAATGAACATCTATTAGGATGGGTTTGAATTACCCATTAGTATAGCCTTGTTTTACGAAGTAAAGGCCAGTCCTGAATACTGGCTTTACTTGATGGTTTATATAACATTCTTCTTCTTTTCATTGTAACATCTGAGAACCACATAAGCATTTTATGTATTTATCCACAGAATTCTCATGTGAATAAGGGAAGTACTATTATCCATACTACAAACAAGGGAAATTAATGTAAGGCCTGAACTGACGGAACAACTTAGCCAAGCTCCAGACAGGAAATCTGCAGCACAGCTAGAAATTGAATCCTGACTCTTATCCAAGCATATCTTGTCTACAAGTTCATCTATCATCCTGCTAGATTGGTCTCCAGAAGAAGGAATTATTTCCTACAGCAGAATCACTGCTGTATTCACTTTAGCTGTCTCAAAATGGGAATAGCTGCTCATTCACATTAGGCAAGCATATCCCAAAGCTGTACAGTCCTGAGCATGCTGAAGTGGGGCTAAGACAGTCCAGTCCCCAGTGCACCCCAAGTCCCTGCCTGGGGACATGGTTGGGTGACCAAAGGTGGGTGAGTTGGCACCTAAGGGAGCCTGAATCCTAAAAAGATTTTGAGGCAGTCTGTGAGGCAATTATCTGGCAAAGCTGCCCGATCAGTTTGTGTGAGCATTACACAATAGTTTCACTACAGACTCGGCTGCCTTTGCATAGGTTAAGCCCCTTGACGTGCAATGGAAAAGCCATTTTTACTTCGCATTTTTGCTTCACTTTCACTTATTCAGTTCAATATGCAGATAAGGGGCAGTAAATTCCAAACTCATTCCAGTACGACTATGCCCTTTGGCACACTGATTTTTTTTTTCAGTGTACCTCAGTTCATTGGGTCAGGTGTAGTGCTCTTAACATTACAAGTATAAGCTGACTATTTTTAATATTGGCAACATCCTTGAACTTCAATTGATCCGAATTCTCACGTGATCTCTCATTTAAATGGAGTAATTAAAATAATTAGGATTTATTGAGACACACAGGAGGGACACTGTACAAATGTTTTGATATGAGTTGCCAGCAGCTCTTGTAATATGTTAATTTGGGAGACTTCAGGTCTTAACTTTTTATTTTTTCCCTTACACTGCCACAACAGAGTGATATTTAAACAGCTTCTACAAGCTAAGGCCTTGAGTTATCTCCAAATTGACAGCTTGCAGGCTGGGAAGTGTGAATGAAAACTCATCTGTGTTGCTGATGGCCAAAAAGTTCCAGTGAGGCTCTGCAAAATGCAACAGGAATGAGAAAATCTTTCTCTCCCAACCCTCTGAGCCAGTCTGATTAGTTTCTTCAGCTGTCGTGCTTGTGATTTCTGAGCATAAGCTTGCATGCAGTGCTGTAATTTTCTTTGTTTCATGTCATGCTATAGGACTGCACCAAAAGACTTTTGATGTCTTGGTACTGGGCACTGTCTTTCTCTAGGATGGACTTGGGGAAGTCTGTGAATTAGTCCAGCACTTGATAATATCTGATTATATCCCAGTATCTGGAAGCCTTGAAAGCAGGTTAGTTATACAAAATACTCCAGTAGCAATTGACTGTGGTGATCGTTCTTTTTTTTTTTTTTTCTTAAAAAAGATGTTGCTACATGATGGTCCCAGCATGCATTTGACTTGTTACCCTAGTGGGCTACAAAGGAAAGTTAGAAGTTTGGATTAAACTTCAAGCAGGCAAAAATGAACAGTTTGTGGGCTTCATAAAGGTACTCGAAACCTGAGCTGCATTCCCTCTTCAGACACTTCACAGATCCCAGTCACCATGGTGGCAAACTCACCGACTCAGACTAATTAACAGACGATTGAGTTTGATGGCTGATCAGGTAGGAGTTCCTCTCAAAATTCAGAAACAGTTCCTTCTTTTCTGACCCCTTGTCTGTTGTGACCAGATAACTAACATTCTTTCTGGTATTGCAGTAAGGTCAATTTTGCAACATATCATAATGCGTCAGAAATGATGTGGGTTACAAAAGCTTGTCTAAGCATAGAACATAGAATATAGAAGGAGTTGGCATTTGAGCAAAGCGGTAAGAAATTTCTTTGTGATCTCCGAGTTGATTGAATTGCCCTTGGAAAGCAGGGAAATGATAAAGGATGCATTTGGAGGAGGAATGACAGAAGAGAGGAAACTCTTTGAGGCCAAACTGTGAGGCAGAATGAGTGTAGCAGTCAGCAGGGCACATGGCAAGGACTCAGAAATGCTATGGCTATGCAGAGCTGGTAAGGAGCTGACTTCTAATGCCACCCGTACAGCTCTCTAAGCCATCAGCTGGGGAGTGTGAGGGACAGGGAGCTGCTGGGACAGCTTCTTCATCAGGAAGTAAGTCCAGGAACACCCCTTCTCTCCATAGGCCTATGGGTTCCCTTCATAGCTTCCAAAAAGGATCTACCCACCGCCCCATGTTTCGTCTAAAATACTGCTCTGAATATAGCCTGCAGTCACACTAGTCATCTTTGCAGCAGTGAACAGCCTTCATATTCTGCAAATCAAAATTCCTTGAGTACCTCCTGTTTGTGTATTCAAATGCTTTGAATACTCGTATTTTTTGCTTGAAAATCATAGACGTCTCATACTTATTAATTTAAAATATGTGTATTTTCACTTTTGTCCACATTAAAGTCTGCTGTGTAAAGCCTGCTTTTTCCATCTTTCTGATCTTTTGAGCAGCATAAACCTTCTTGGACTTCAAGGTACAAGCTTCATTTCCAGAACTGCTATTGGTAGTAGATGGTGCTGATAAGGGGGAACAGTGAAAATGTAGTTAATTCCTATATTGAAAAGCAGTAGCTCTTTCAGAGCTATATATATTGGTTTGTTTAAGGATGCTATGTATGTCCATACACCTATGTGAGAATAGACCATTTGTCATGTTTCATAAAGGTAATACTTAAAAACGGTTGTTTAAATTTTCCTTCTGATTGGACTAACTCCTCTTCAATTTATGAAAGGAAGTAAACGATTCCCATTCTAAATTCTTCTCTT